ATATATATATATATATATATATATATATATATATATATATATATATATATATTATTATAGATGTCTATAATTATATACACATTAAGAAAGAAAGGATGTTTTATTTATTATTGTTTATTCGCTGCAGAGAGCTGGTTAAGAATTATGACTGATTAGTTTGCGAAATAGTTCAAAGGTCAATACTTTCTTTATAGAGATAAACCTCAGCAAGTACTGTCTGTTCACTTTAAATTTTTACGTCGAACAGTCAGTAACTACAAGTCAATATTATAAGTGCTGTATATAATTTCGTAAACCGTTAATAAGCCGTTTGTAAACATGTAAGATAGGTTTATTTTATATCATATTGCATATGATGTCTATTGGAAAATTTATTTTGTATATGTATGTGTAGATCTTTTTATAAAAATTTCTTTATTCTGTAATTTCTTTTTATGTAATTTTATTTTAATTTTTTCTGAATTAAGACATTTTTTGTATATTTAATCTGGAGTTTTAAATAATTTTACTTATATAGAGTATCCCTCTAATAACAGGTAATAAAATATTCGTGTATAGTATAGAGTGAAACGGTTTGAATACCTTTTATAATGAAGTTAATAACCCATTTAGTTCTCATATTTGGGAATCATAATTCAATCAATGCTTCGAATGTAAAAGACGTATAACATATGAGATATGACATATGACATATGAGATTAGCATAATCTAAATTGTAAATCCAGAAAGAATATACGTATGAAAGTAACACCAAAAAAAAGAGTGAGAGAGAAAGAAAGAGAGAGAGACAGCGCTCTCGCATTACTTTCATACTTATATTTTTCCTGAATTTACAGTTTAAGTTATGTCGTTGGATATTTCTTATATTTAAAGCACAACATTTTTCAATTCTTCAAGCATAACTATTACGACGATTTAACCCAGAATACTCCCTAATGCTCTTTAAATTTCTGGGAGTGAAAATCTCACTCGAAAAATGAAGTGACAACTAACTTACTCGAATTAGAATGACTTCTCATCCTTATAGATTGAATTCTTTCTCTATATCATGGAGTGAAAATTTTCACTCTGTGTCGTAGAATAAATTTTCGACAAATGGAGTGACAACCGTCACTCGAGTTAGAGTGACTTTTCACTCGTATGGAGTGAATTTTCTACTCGTGAAAGGGTAAGTCATTTGGATACAGCGTATATATGTTCGAGTTTTTCTACATTCTCCTAATCGGTCAGTATCAATGATTGTGATTCTGAAATTAAAACTTCTTTTTTCATCATCCTTTATTTGGGTGCCATTTCGAACCGTTTCAAATTTATAATTGAGTCAAAAACCATAAGGTTAGCTTACAAAAACGTTGTTAAATTCAATTAATTTATTAGGATAGATAAAAATTTTCTGCTGAGATTAATGTTGTTTATAAGATTAATTGTATAAATTGTGATAAGTCATTAGTAAATCAAACAAATAGATTATTAAAAACGAGTATAACTGAGCATCGTAGACCCCCTAAGAACAAATTGTCATTAATTTCTGTAATTAAAACACATCAAATTGACCATTAAAATTGATCATTAAAATTGTTTGAGAGAATGTAGAAATACTTGACAAAGAGGTTCTTATTTTAAACTTTTGAATTCTGAAACGATATATTAAAAAAAACAAAAAGAAAAAGGTTTAAACAACCAGACAGACACGGAATTTTTTGGACAGCGGTACTCAAATATCCTCGTTAAATTTAAATTTTAATATTTGCGTGCGGTTTGCGTCCCCCCCCCCCC